ATGACAACAACATGCTCAAATGACAACAAATACCACTGCAAGCATGGGGTTATTGTGCCTAGTCATTCCTCCAGATAACTCAAAAGTGAAGATAAAGTCACTTTCAATCACAATACGTTCAATAGGCTTTCACTAAAGAAAAAAGGGAGGGAAACACCCCCCCCCATCTCAGATAAAGGAAGTAATAATGACAAACACAAGTGCCTAGTGGAATGTCAACGTGTGTGACAAGAACAATATAATTGGTGTCAGAGTTCAAAGTTATCCACAGAGGTTGAAAAACAGTTGGGCAAGAAAGAAGATAAAGGTAACACAAAGCCAGACACATACACATCAAGCGTGAATTAACTAACTAAAGGCAAAGATAATCCATTGGAGGAGAGACAAAACATGAAATCACACTTCATAAGAGACAGACAAATAGGGCAATACAGATAGCTGGAAGAATAAAAATTAAAAATAAAAACTGGGAAACTTCATTCCATTTTAATGTTTACAACTTTAAACGACGGATGCATGGATGACCCAAATCAAGGTTTTCATGTCTTTGAGTAGATTTTTATCTTATGAAACCAGAGCAAACAGTGTGAGACCGTGAAGGGATGGCTTGGATTCTGGTGGAGCACAGGCCTCAAACCCTGGACCCTAATGGGACAACAGCAGGTGTTCGGCCTCCCTCCCAGACCCCAGGCTCCTGACGCAGTCTAGGACCTCAATTGGTCCATGCTTTTCAGTCACATAGGGCAATGCCCCTACCAGCCCCTCCACAGGTAGAGGGCGTAACTACAGGCCCTTGAGAGATTTCCATATTAATGAGATACCTAAAGGCCAAAGGGCATAGCCAATTACATAATCCTTTCCCAGACCTTCTTCCCTCCTCCCTCCCTATTTAACTCAGGTCCCCCTGACCTAAGTAGGGGTGCAGCCACATTCATTTATTTCCCACCATGACAATAAACCTTTTGGAACCATGGACTCCCTCACGTCTTTGGGGCCTGCCATGGGGAACCGTGAAGAAGGCCTTTAATGAGCCGTTGTCGCTGCTGCCTTCATCGCTGCAGCTGCCTAATTTCCCGTCAAGGCCAAGGAGACCACTGATTCAAGCAATCTAGCCTAGCTGGAGTTCCAGCCAAGCAAGTACCAAGAGTCTCTTTACTGCCGGGGCCTCTCTCCCGCCTCCCGCCTCGTTTCTCTTGCATCTCTGTCTGGGAGCCCCTAATGGTGACCACCGGACTCCGGGTCCACTCAAGAGCCCGGCCTCCCCCACCCCCTGCGGAACTTCAGACTGAGAGAGAACTCCCCTTGCTTGGGCGGAGTGAACTCAGTCAGAAATCCCATGCTTCTGCTTCTCCCCATGGGCCGTGCCTCCCTGAGCTGCCCGGGGCAGAAGACACAAGGGAACCACAACCACCCAACAAGACCCACGCCCACGCCCACGCCTACATTTAAGCTATCATTCCCCGAAAAATAGCGTCATTGTATTTCCAGTAGAGTCACAGGAGTTACTAAATATCAGGTAGGACTAAACATCAGGTAAGAAATGCCTGTTTATGGTCAGGGAAAAAAGTCATAGAAATGAGGCAAAGTTTTCATCCTGAGGTGTATGTAGAAAACATTAGGGATGGGCCATTGATTCTCTGTACAGGCATGGCAAGGGATACTGTTGTAAAAATTATTAATCCCGGCCCAGGGTTCCCACCCTGCCTTTGACCATTTAAGTTCCCAGATAAAAGACACATACAACCTTTCTATTTACAATAAACTTTAAACAGCACACGAGCTGAGCAGACACCCTCTGTGTTATCAATATTTACTTCCCCATCAACAACTCTAGATTATTACTTATTACTTACTATGTTTCGTCTGGGCTGGTCTTAACTCCAATTGGCCAATTCTCAGTGTCACATTTTTTTATGGCTCAGCTAACTCATGGGGGCTTCTCCTTCCTTCTTCTGCACCTTCTTCTTCTCCTTGTGGTTTTCCTCCAACCCCAAGCAAAGGAAACCTAAACCCCACCCATGTCTCTCCTGCCCAGCTATTAGTTGTTGGCGTCTTTATTTACCAATCAGAAATAATTTGGGGGCAGGATCACTTAGGACGGCCTGCAGACTCCAGGTCTTGGGAGCCCACACTTAGCATTATAATACACAGTAAAAGACAAAACCCAAACAGGTTCCATGGTCAACCGCCCTGTATACACTCAACTTGGTTCCATCAGAGTTGAGTTTGGGCTGTCTTAACTGAACAGCATGTTTGCTGACACGGTATCCACTGGCAAGGGACACAGACTCAATCCCACAGTAACAAACTTGCCTTGTTACTGCTCCATCATGTGATGTAGAACACTGTTGATCAAGGACACTGCCTCTAGGTAGTTTAGCTCTATGGGATCCTTAAAGACGTCCAGGTTGTTATCTAAAGGCAAGGAAAGCTGGAATCCTTCACCATTGTTGGCCAACACACCAATCCAGTTAAGTAAAATCAGAAAGGGGTCCTGTGGAGGTGTTCCGTGAAATCATCAACAGAATTCTTAGTGAAGGCTAATCATATTGTTAACTTCATAGACTAATATTAATTTATACAAGTCAATATAATAAAATAGATAATGGAGTTGGAGAGATGATTCAGTGGGTAAAGTAGTTTATATAAAAGTATTGAAGACCTAAGTTCAGATCTTCAGCACCCACTTAAAAGCTGGATGCAGCAAGATGCATTTGTAACCTCAGAATTGGGATGGAGTAGAAAATGGGGAAAAATCCACAATCTTGCTAGCTAGCTGGTCCAGGATAAAACCAAGCTCCAGGGTCAGTGAGAGACCCTGCCGAAAATAGTAGAGAGCAAAAGATAAAGGCAGTGGACATTGACCTCTGACCTTCAAACTCACATCCAGGGAGAAAAAGAAAGACAAACAGAAAGTCAGGATTTATCTATGAAAGTTTTATTTTTTAATAACTTTTTTTTGAGAAGTACAAATGTCAAAGTAGCAATAAATTTAGAAGTTTTTGTTCTACAGCGAAGAATTAGGAACTTATAATGGTATGAAAAATATGAATTACTTAGTGGCAAAGACTCAAGTCATAGATCTCACTCTACTGATGAACTCCTTTGAGAGAGACAGGACGGATAAGACTCTCTGGGTTTGTTCAGACAGACTAAGCAATGCAATGGTCTATTGATATAAAATGTTATTTACTCTACCAAACTCCTGAAAAATGACTTTGTTAACCACATCATGGGAACTTCTGTCAGGTATACCTTTTTCTTTTAAATTGCTATTCTCTAGGGGGAAATGGAGCGGATCGGAGGACCTTGTGTACACAGACAAGCACTGGATAAGACAGCAAAGTTCGACACACAGACTTGTCCCTTCAAAGAAAGGATGTAATTTACAACTTGGTGATTTTTTTTTCTATCTATAGGCCATGATTCACCTGAATTCCCTGGATTATTATGTTTATTTATTGTGGTTCAAAACTCGCGTGGGTTGCGTGGGCGGGGCGCCTGTGCGTAGAGGCAGAGGCCATCCGGGGAACCATGGTCGCTCTGGGCGGGACTCAGGACTCTCAGCACTCGCTGTTCATGGTTCAGTCTCGCCCAAACGGGTTACAGCGGAGAGAGAGAGGGAGCCCCGCAGGGAAAGCGGGGACCCAGGCGGCCCCGGCTGAGTAGGACTGCTATTGTAAGGGGAGAGTGTCCCACGGGCCACTAGAGCGCAGAGAGCACAGGGATGGGTGGAGAAGGCTTCCCCCCCATGCGAGTTTTCCACTTACACAATGAGTCTAGAATCGCAGGAGACACGTGAGATTAAAGACATGTAGATTTATTGACATGGTGATAAGTCTGAATGATGGACGTTCTCCCAAAAAATGCCAGGAGAGGCCCCCTTATATTGGGGAGAGGAGGGGCTTGGGAGGTGACTATGCTCCGGCCTTTAGGTAATATGTAAATCTTGAGGCAGAGACCTGTTCCCCCCCACACCCGCTCTCTACCTGGGCTTTACGTGACCTACTGCATGTTACATGGAGACCTCGTGTCAGGTCTCTGGGTTCTGGGGGCGTGGCCAAACACCCCAGGATTTTCACAGCCCCACAATTTATCCCTGATTTTTTATCCCCTAAGTCTTGAGCGTTACTTCTCAGTTACTAAGACCTGTGAGAGATGTCACTTGTACTTTACAACAGCCTAAGTGACCTGTATTATATTAGAGCCAGGCCAATCCTCACTCCACAGGCATTGTGTTGACCTCAACTATTCTCTTTTATATGAAGCATCACTTCTAAGTCAACAAAACCCATCTTTACAGAAGAAACCACGTATAGCTTGTAAAGGATTTCAACATAAACATATCTTAAACCTTGTTGTTCACTCAGGACTGAGTTCATTGTCATTAGGAAACTTTTTCCCAAAATTATGCTGTGCTTAGGTATGGCTAAAATAAGCCACCCGACAACAGATTCCAGAAGTTTGAACCAATGACACCTAACTAAAGTCTTACGGAACTGACTCTCGCTCTTGCTTCTCAGATCATTCTGCTGCTAGCCATAGAGTTTGCAAGGACCCCCCATAGAAAAACATACCAGCTGTGGAAGCCATGGCAACAACATCATCTCAGCCCCAGGCACACTTCTGCCACACCAGGACCCCCCCCCTCCGTAAAACCAGATCACGCATAACTCACCCACATACTCTTACCCCACATACACTTCCGCTGTGCCACACACACCCTGTCTGACTCGGTCATAGGGTATACTTTCTACTTCCATTGTCACACTGCATGTACCCTGACTGTGAAAACAGAGAATGTGAGACACCCCTTCAATTCCCCGTGCCTCTCCTCAGCACACACTCCCATCACCCCACATAAACCCTGGTGGGTCACATCAACCAGCATGCAAACCCTCCACCCTAGTGCTCACTTGTGGCATGCCCAAAGCACATGACTAAGGTTAGAAAAAAGAACCCCAGTCCATAGAGTACACTTCAGCCATGTCTCATACCCGCTACTTCCTTCCACATTCTACACTCCAGCTGGTAAAGCTGTGCCTAAGATCTTCCCGGCTCCTATCACTGTGCACACTCTGGTTCCTGAGATCAGAGCCCTTGTAACTATCTCTTGGTGACCCCATAATACCACAGCAGTTTAAGCACCTAGTTAGTGAAATCAGAAGATTCATTAACATTCTACGGCCCACAGCCCACAGCCCACAGCCCAAAGCTCTGCCACAGAGAATTCACTTTGACTCATGATGTTAGAGAAGATGGTCTTTCCCCCTTACCTTCAGCACACACTTATCCATATCAAGCACCCTGGATTGTGTGCTCAAAGTATATGTTGTAGGAACCAGAAGGGCTACCATGCCCTGGGTGAGACTTTCTGTGTGCCACTGTCTACTAAATAACATTCTGTGGTTTTCCTAAGATCAGAACATCCTGATGTAGGCATGGTGCCCCAGGAAGGGAATTTACACTTGACATCCCATTGTCCCCCAGCTGAGCTCCTGTTTTTCCTTGAGTTTGTGTTTTTCCTTCCCTGGCTTGGTGTATATATTGAACCTGCTCAGTAAAAGCTTTGGCATTCTCTCATAACGAATGGCCCAAGTCTGTGTCTTCCTTTAATCTCCCAGGCCTATGCCCAAGCTCGGTACTGTGGCAGCACTGGAGCTGTCATATGTGACGACACATCCTAGCATACCTCTAGCTTCACAGAACAGACTCTGTCTCCCACTTGGGCACACCCCAGTCATCCTATCTATGAATCAGCATCAAGTGTCCCCACAACTGAACTATAGACATACGCAAGAATAAAGCCCTGAGTTCAAATCCCTAGCACTTGCATAAAAGCTTAGGCATGGTCACATGTACCTATAACTCCAACACTGTGGTGGGTGGAGGCAGGAGCATCGATGGGGTTTACTAGCTGCCAACCCACCTTCCAAATCAGTGTGAGTGCCTTTCCGAAGGGAACAGAATGAGAGTGACCGAGCAGGAGGCCAGACATCCTCCTCTGGCTTACACACACACGCAGGGACACACACACACACATACTCACACACATGCATCCACACACATGTACATATACACTACATACAAACTATAGATACCACATATATACTTAGACATGCATATACACATACACAAAGAAGCAGTAATAACAAAATAAAATGGAAAATGTCAGTGACAAAAAGAACAGAGTCACATATGCAGGCGGGCCCATCAGAGTGGCAGCTGCTTTTTCAGCTACTACTGATAGACTACTCTCAAAGCTTTTATAATCTAGACATGAACTTTGTTCTACTGTTGTTTCTATTACTATGATGAGACACTCTGACCAAAGGGAGCCTGAGGGAGGGAAGGGTTTATCTGAGTTTATAATTACAAGTCATGGTTTACCATTGAGGGAAGCCAGGGCAGTGACTGAAACTGAGACACGGAGGAATGCTATTGCATACTGGTCTTTACTCTCCCCAGCTCATGCTCAGTCAGATCTTTTATATAACCCATGTCCACCTTCCTAGGGGACAATCCCAAATCCAATCTCTGAAGGACACTGGTACAAAGGTACAAAGATGCCTTTCCTATAGTATACTTCTGTGTCAAAACATGATGAAGAGAGGCTTTTACAGCAACTATGGAGGAAAATTCAGAAACCTGTTTATTAATTTATTCATGGCTCATTATCCCAAAGTTTGGGAACTCTCAAAGCCATAAGAGAACAGAAGAGTGGACTTCACCTAGAACTGACTTTAATACTTGTATGTAATTAAAATGGTATAAAAGCAAAAAGGAGGATGGGGATGGGATGGGGATTTCTAGGGAGGGGAAATGGGGAAAGGGGATGACATCTGAAATGTAAATAAATAAAATATCCAATAAAAAATAAAGTAGAAATTATTGTTTATAGTAATGACAAAGAAGAAGGAGAAGGAGAAGAAGAAGAGGAAAAGGAGGAGGAGGAAGAGGAGGAGGAACAAGAGGAAGAGGAGGAGGAGGAGGAAGAGGAGGAGGAGGAAGAGTGGACTTCAAGCTCTAAGAGACCACACCTGCTGACTCGGACTCTCATATCTAGAAAAACTATCACAACTAGAGAAGAAAGAAAATCTTGCCAGGCTCAAAGCAGTAGATGGCTGCTAATCCACCTCTACTGGAAAAAAGTCTTCAGACTATAGAGAAGGATAAACACATCCAACAGACAATTGCTAAGCAAACAAGGACTAAGAAAACATCAAACTCTATAAAAACCAACAACATCATAGGAATTAATACACTTTTTAATAATAAGTCCATATTAGTGGACTCAATTTCCCAATCAAAAGATATACACTAGAAGATTGGATCAGAAAAGAAAACCCTTCTTGCCGGGCGGTGGTGGCGCACGCCTTTAATCCCAGCACTTGGGAGGCAGAGGCAGGCGGATTTCTGAGTTCAAGGCCAGCCTGGTCTACAGAGTGAGTTCCAGGACAGCCAGGGCTACACAGAGAAGCCCTGTCTCAAAAAACCAAAAAAAAAAAAAAAAAAAAACCAAGCAGAAAGGAATCCTTTGTACAGTAGATGTGACATTTGAAGTGTACAAAGGCACTAAAGTGTACAAACTGTACTAAATTGGGCTGGTCCCCACATCAATTATTAATCAAGGACATGCCCCCACAGACTGGCCAGTCTGATAGCAGCACTTTCTCAATTAAAGAGCCCTCTTCCCAGATGATCCCAGCTTGTGGGAAGTTGACAAAAAAAAAACCTTACTAGCATGTTCTCTACTGTTGTATTAGTGGTCATGAATGACTTTATGTTTCTCATGGGAGGTCCTTATTTCTTTCAATTTTGAAGGATGACTTTAGTGCATATAGTAGTCTCAGTAGGCATCTGTTTACCTGAAATATATCACCTCATGCTCTCAGAGTTTTGGATGAGAGGTTTGATGTTATTTTGATTGGTTGGCTATGGTAAGCCACTTGGTATTTTTTTTTCTCCTTTAATGTTTGGGAATGTCATATGTGCATACAATATATTTTGATCAAATCTACCATGTGTTCCTCCCATTCAGCTCCCACTACATCTCCCACCCACCACTTTTCTTTCAACTTCATAAACTCTATTTTTTTTTAACTGATTGAATCTACTTCATGCTGCCAGTATGTCCATGGGTGTAGGGTCATCTAATTGGAACCTCTAGAGGCCCCATCCCTGAAGAAACTTATTCTAATAGCCATCAGTTTGTCACCATTAGGAAACAGGCTCCTTTCAGCAAGTACTTCCTGGCATCCACAATAGTGTCTGGGTTTGTTGACTGTATATGAAATGGATCCCTAAGTGGGGCAGTCTTTGGATGGTCTTTCCTTCAGTCTCTGCTCCACATCTTGTCTATATATTTGATCCCACGAGTATTTTGTTCCTCTCATGCTGGAATTTTTGAATAGCTTGACTGATATGTGTAATGCCCTTGTCATGTCCAGAAAACACTATTTTACAACAGTCTACCATAAACTTTGACTCTTACACCTTTTCCACTCCCACTTCCAAGACAATCGCTGAGCTTTAGGAACAGATGAAAGAGATGTCCTGTTTAGGTAGAGCTGAACATTCTCGAGTCTCGGTATTAATTTACATTTATTGCAAAAAGAAGGTTTTCTAGTGAGTGTAGAGAGCTGCACTAATCTATGGATACAAAGAGTACCACCTATAATCACCCCAAACCCAGATGCCTAAATGCCAATATAAGAAGAAAAATCAATAAAAGCCAAGACAATTTGTCATCAAACAACCAGCTATTCGACTACAGCTAGCCCCAAACATTCCAATGTACCTGAAGCACAAGAAAATGATCTTAAAACCAACTTTATGAAGATTATTAGAGTCCTTAAAGAGGACATGATTAAATCCCTAAAGAAATCAAGGAAAAGACAAACAAAAAATTGGAGAAAATGAATAAATACCTTAAAGAAAGCCAAAAAAAAAAATCAAGAAGTTGAAGGAAATGAATAAAACTATTCAAGACCTGACAATGAAAATAGAAAGAATGAAAAAAATACAAACTGAGAAAATTCTGGAAATTGGAAATCTAAGTCAACAAACAGGAACTAAAAATGCAAGCATCACCATTAGAATACAAGAGAAGAAAGAGAGAATCTCAGGTGCTAAAGATGCAATAGAAGAAATAGATACATTAGTCAAAGAAAATGCTAAATCTAAATTCCTGACACAAAACATCCAGGAAATCTGGAACATTTTGAAAAGACCAAACCTAAGAATAACAAGAATAGAAGGAGTAGGATCCTAGCTCAATGGCCCAGAAAGTATTTTCAACAAAATTATAGAAGAAAAGTTTCTTAAAGCAAAGCATGACTATAAAGGTACAAGCCTACAGAACACTAAATAAATTGAACCAGAAAAGAAAGTCGCCATACTACATAATAATCAAAATACTAAAAACAGAGAAGAAAGAAAGAATATTAAAAGCTACAAGGGGAAAGGACCAAGCAACAAATAAAGGCTAACAAGTAAATTACACCCAAGTTCTCAAAGGAGACTCTAAAAGCCAGAAGGTCCTAGACAGATGTAGACTCTAAGAGCTAAGAGATGTCAGCAAGACTACTATACCTAGGAAAACTTTCAATCACTATAAATGGAGAAAATAAGATACTCCACGATAAAAGTCAAATGTAAACAATATCTACCCACAAATCCAGCCCTATGGAAGGCACTAAAAGGAAACTCTAACCCTAGGAGGTTAACTACACCCATGAAAAGACAGGAAATAAATAATCTCACACCAGCAAAACCAAAATAAGGGACACACACCCCAACAACAATAACAACAACAAAAATAACAGAAATTAACAATCATTGGTCATTGATATCTCTCAATGTCAATGGACTCAATTCCCCCAAAAGACAGAGACTAACAGAATGGATGTAAAAAGAGGATCCATCCTTCTGCTGTACATGAGAAACACTCTTCAACATCAAAGGTAGACATTAACTCAGAATAAAGGATTGGGAAAAGGTTTTTCAAGCAAATGGCCTAAGAAACAAGCTGTAGTAGCCATTCTAATATCTTACAAAATAGACTTTAAACCACAGTCAATAAAAAAAGATGGGAAAGAACAGTTTATACTCATCAAAGAAAAAACACACCAAGATATTCTTTCAAT